ATGACTTTGACCATTTTACCCTTTCTATAATTTCAAATTATGTCTATAGGAAAGTACTCTAACCAGGCTCTAAGCCCCAGGGTAAGAACTCTATTCATGAAACATATCCGGGGTGAACTTGAGATATGTAAAACATTAGCACCAGAATTGAAAAATGTATACTTGAAGTTATAAGTGGGATGTATGTCTATAGGGGATGGTTCTGAGGACAGAAGCATGGTAGACAGAATCGAAGACAATAGACTCTCTCTGGGGCCATGATTACCATTGATGATGCAATTACTCATTCTAGCCCTTACAAAATATTACACTACTTCTCTACAATACTCGACTTAACGAGGAAACATGAGAATAAATCGATAAATTTTTGATGCTCAATGTTTTTGTTACATGAATTCAATTAAATATAATGACATATTTACAAATTTTATAACTGCCGAATTATAAAAAATGCAGGATAATGGAACTTAATTATAAGGGCAAGAGCAATCTTGGAATCAATAAGGATGGAATCGGCCTGATAATGAAGCTGAAAACTAAGCTAATATGACATGGAGTCTTGGAGCAATCTTTGATTGTGTAACATGATGAAATGAAACAAAGTGTTATACATTTGTAAACACTAACTGGTGTAATAGCATTGTGATTGGAATATGATTTATTTCTATTAGGGCCGAAACAGAATGGCATCAAATGTAACTGATTTTGGAAAGTCCATTTTCATGGGTAAAATCCATTCTGCCAGAGTGAACAGTACTTCACGTGCCAGCTCTAGATTCTGTAACTCAATACATCAACTCTTGCTCCATGCCTTTGTGAAAACACATTTTTTTCTTGCATCAAATTGTATAAAGAAAAACTTAAAAATGAAATCTTTATTTTGCCGAGGTATATTCACATAATATTATGCTGGGGGAATAAAAAGCTAAAAGTTAAGATATATATTTTTGTAAGCTCTAATTTACCTAGATCAGCGGCACCAGACTATAGAAAGTAAGATAGTTTATCTCAGGTTTAAAATAAAATGAGCTGAACTTCAAACAAAACAAGATGTAGTAAATCCACACAAATGATACCAAGTCAAACAAACTCTAAAAATATGTCTAACATAAAACGCTACTGGTATATTCTAACTATTGATTACATTTTGGAAACTAGATCAATGTTGCTAGTTTTGCATATACCATGTTGCTGCCAATCTCTATAAAATATTTAGTGAAAAGGGGAGGGAGGGAGGGTGGGGGGGAGAGGGGAGGGAAGAGGGAGCATGGAGCATTTTTGACGCCCATTGCTCATACTAAATTAGGTATGCCACCTTACCATTGGAGTGCTAGGAATCAAAGGATAAGAAGCTTCTCAGAGTAGTTGGGTTTATGGGGGACCTTTTTTCTTCATCTTTACTCAAATTCAATGCATTTAAAATACACAGTACAATAATTGCCAAAGTTGGGGACTGCCAAAAAATTGGGGGACGTTTCCAGTATGAAAACTAACAAGTGAACAAACAATTACTGAAGATATTTTCTCCGTCAAAGATACTCAATTATTATCTGACAGGTCAGTCTTAGAGAAAATCATAATCAAATCTTTGAACATGCTTGAAACAATTCCACAAATCTGAAGCTACATTTCTACGCTTGTTCTCTGGGTGAGAGGTGAATGCGGCAATTTATTGTAGATTCCCTCGAGATATAACCCATCAATCTACTGGGATATTAGAAAAATAGTTCCATGGAAGTCACAATTTTTATCATAAAACAGAGAGAAAACTGGGAAAAACGAGGAATAAAAATGGTAGTCACACATAATCTGGAGTTAATATTCTTAATCGAGAGGTGGTTTAAAGAAACCATATACTATAATTATTTAAATTAGAGATAAAATGTGTGAAAAAGCTTGATTAGAGGGATTTATCAATCCTTCAACTGGAATTATTGAATTTGCATTGCTTTGAGATTATTACTTGCAGAATAAATCGAAACAATTTCAAGGCAAATCGGCCAATTCGAGAATAACTTGCACCGAGTTGAAAAAATATTGTCACCCATTTGAGTTAATTTGCACCCGATTGAGAATTTGGAAAGTATTAAAAATGATATTTTAAGTTTTAGGGATTTATTGATAAATTAAATGAACTTTATACCTAGAGACAAAGAAAGTGTCTAAAATACTGTAGTTCATTTCAAGAATACCCTGATAAACAGAGCCTAGTACAAGAGTCAAATGAAATCATTAAAAAGGGTATTTCCACTTCCCAGGGAGCCATAAATGTGGAGGGTTAAAAATGAGACTGAACAATGTCCTGAACTAAGCCTTTTTAGAAACCAACACTCGCAGACACACATTTTTGTATTTTAAACGTCTCAGGTTGTCACATATTTTACTAACTACCTAAAAGCATGTAAAATTGATACTTGATTTAAAGGACATGATCTCTAGTACAGCAACATATTCAGAAGACGTATCCATGGACGCAACATTATGTATATTTGTTAAATGTTTCTGATATATTTGAACAGTGTAGAAATGAGTTTATTTCGTTATCTCGTGCAAACAAGTATGATGTAGCAAACTAATCGAATTATCTCAACCTGATATTGATGATTGTGCGTGATTGATAAATGTTGTAGTACAAAAACTAGAGATACTATTATAAATGAATGGCATTGTAATCGACATGATTGTATTCTTTTTTGCTTTTATGGCTACACATAATGGCATCGACCAATCCTATAAAAATGTTAGCAATTTGTTATATTATGTATTTCCTATCCTGCTATAGACACAAGTATTGAATGTAAACCTCCAGCGGAAAAGCTTCACATGTTTTAGGTTCACTTATAATTTCCCCCCAAAATGTTGCATAATTTGGTGATGTAAAGAAAAAAAATATTAAAAGAGGATTTACATTTTTATTTCAAGACATAATTGACACCATTAAGTTCCTTATATACATGAAATAAAACTGATTCTTTTGAAATTTTTGAGATATCAAATTTATCCAGTCAAAATAAAACACGTTTAATTTTCACCTTGTGGCAATAACTGTTTTAACATGTATGTCATCACAGCATGCCTGCGGCCAAAATGATAACATTATCAATCTACAATAGAGATAATATTAGCTACCTCTTCACCACAAAGGCTTTAAAGTGATATATGATAGCTCATTATCTAAGTTATACAACAATCAAAATATTATTAAATGATAAGCTTTGTATTGCTGTGCAAGCAATGTATTATTATGTTGTGTTATCAAAACCATGGCAACTGTTACAAATAGTATGATTTAACATCTGTTACTGGACAATATGTAAGACAATTTAACAATAAAAATGTAGATATTAGTACAACTCAGATACCATATTGCACACAGATTTAATGTATGGAAAACTCTAACATTTCATGATCTTTTACAACTTTCTCCAGATGATAAGCCCTCTCAAAATAGAAATTCTTTTTACTAAAAGACTTTCATAATTCATACCCATTTATTTAAATAACCAGCTACCTACATTTTTCATTTTGAGAATAATTAATTATAAAGAAAACAATACATAAGATTAAATACAACAATTGCCAAGGAAACAGATTGTAGATTTGCTATAATAAGGGTGAAAAAGCTCACGGGATGTATGTTATTCAAAAGAGCAAATGCTATTATCCTAAGACATTATTATTGTTTCAAAGAATGCCTTTGTATTAAGAGTTATTATTTCAATTCACAGTTCATCAGGAGTTTAATCTGACCTCAGATGTCGGTGGAATAGTCAAGTACAAAAAAGCATATGTTTCTAATTTATCAAACTGAGAATTTCTTAAAAGCAGTTTCGAACAGGCACTTTTCACTGAAATCCTGATTCAAATTCTCTCATCTAAATAAAGCCTTTTAGTTATGTCATATTTCTAACAGCTTTCTACTACTTCAAGCCGTACAAAATTTAAATCCATTCAAACAGATTATTAGATTGATCTATGGGACTACTAGGCTTAAAAGAACTGGGGACTTTAAATGGGTCCCAGAAAAATCAGTCTGAATCACACAACGCAAAATCATTTATTCTTCTGTAGAAACTTTTCAAATTAATTAAAGTTCATTAAAAATGTACAAAGCTTCACACGGCATATGAATTATTGACAGTGTCTATGACACTCTGGAAAGGTGTTAAACGGTTTCCTTTGTGAAATCGTTTACTGCATGGTTAAAAGATCGTAATGAATTGAAAAAGCCAGTGTAAAGGTAAACAATAGGCGTGCGCCTGTAAACAATTGGTGTTCGTCACCACAAATGCGGCTTATAAAAAACTCAAGTATGCAAAGGTCTTAAGATTACATGGTGTAAAAATAATAAATTGAATCCAAAAGTAGACTAATTTGTATGTAGCTTGTCATGCAAACTTTTCAGTTTCAAGTTGTATCAATTTAAAGTAATATATCATGCAATTTTCCCATCATGTATAAAGTGCTGATCAAAACTCACTCAATCCACTTAAAGGTACAATAAATGATATAACACTATGTATAAGAAGGCATTAATCACAACTTTGATGTTAAGAAAATATGTATATCTGTGTCATAACTTTCAATTAACCTGTTTGAAATGATAAATTGGAGAAAATGTGTAAATACTGCATCATGTCACACTTGGCTAAGAGTCTAAGTTAACAATAGGGGTGCAGACATAAATGAGTTTCTCAGGACATTGTGAAATATTAAGGGGTGAGTCAGACCCTTGTTTAAACCTAATAGGGGGGGGGGGGGGGGGGTCAACTCTCCAGGCCCTAAAAATCTGAAATATAGGATTTCTATGACGTGTTTCAAGTCTGTAAGTTGGAGTCTCAAAACACTGATGAGAAAATGCTCAAAGTATGATATGCTGGACTTGCTGGTCAAAAGTGAAATATGGACCAGTTGCCAATATCAACAAGCTCTGGATAAAGTCCCCAGCATCTGTTGAATCCTGCATGCATTGCATTGTGTAAGTTAAAAATTCTACTCACAGGTTCTGTCGTCTGCCCGCGTGATCTCAACAGAGAAAGTTATAGATGGCGTTTCTTCATAATCTAGTTCCTGGTTTGCCGCAAGAGTCAACTGTCCAGTAAATGGGTTAATGTTAAACTTTTCTGTTCCAGAAACTAAAGCGAATCTTTCCTGATCGTTAAGTGGTGGGGACTTGACACTGAACAAGGAAGTCGTGCCTTCATCCAATTCAAAAGTTCTTATTGGCCTAACAGCTCTACGATTTCTTCGATGACTTTCAGGGATAAATAGTAGATCACTTTCCACGACAACTGATACAATCGCTGCTTCACGATGTATATCATCATCCACGAATATTTCAAATTGGTACGTTTTTTCTTCAATGCCTTGTTGAGTTTGTAGAACAATGTCACCAGATTCAGAATCAATTCTAAATAATTTGCTTGGTTCCATAGAATACTTCAACTTTCCCTGGTCCGGATCTACTGCTTTGACCTTTAGAATGGTCGTCATAGCAACCGTATCCTCAGGGATAAGAACATTATATGATGAAGATTCAAATTTGGGAATGTTGTCATTTTCATCTTCAACTAATATGGTAATTTTGGCATGGGCAATATCATTGTTTTGGAGAGATGAAGCGCTAAGTTGTAGTTGGAATTCAGAATTTTCTTCGCGGTCCAGAGGAGCTAAGGTGATGATGTCAACTTGACCTTCTCTTAATTTCAGGTCAAATAGGTCACTACGACCTGTTACTATGGAGTACAAAATATCAGGACTTTCTACATTGTTAATTTTGGCAAATAGAGGAGCTGAAAGGCTGTGTACTGGGGTGCCCGCAGGTTGATTTTCCATGACATACCCTTTATACGACTGTTCGGGAAAAATTAACATTTTATTGCCATTCTGTACATCCACATGTAATATATCATACCATTCATTATCAGCAATTGTATTTTTGATGCTTAGCATCAAATTTTTTCCCAAAAGGTCTGAAATATCTGCACTCGTCATAATGGTGCCATCAAGTATGTGGAAAAATTGCGATATTGAGGGGTCGTTATCCTCTAGGGAAAATGCCTGACCCCAGAAAGGGAGCTTACTAAGTATAAATCCAGGTTTGCTATTATGAGGCACTGTCACAGTCTTTATATTCCTACATTCTGCAATTGCACATATGCAGAAAATAAACAGTAAAATTTTACTAGCCATTTTACTCCAATGGCTGTACTTTTCAACCATTCCCACGTCTTTTACGAAGATTCCACTTTAGGATTATGATGACAAATATCCTTATATAACGTACAATGGTGTATATATCCAAATCTATTCATTCGTCACATATTCTGCAGAGTTATAAAGTAAAATCCATTATTTTTGAAAAGTATTTTTGTGCTTATTATAAGGGGTCCTTCAAGTCTGAGAGTCGAATGTTTACACAACTCTTGAAGTTTTTTTCAAGTAAATTCTTCACAATTCGTTGTTTATATTCCAGTCTGAAAAGCAGTAAATGTTCCTTGGATATTCATCTATCCAAACTGTAGGTCTTCAATGGGTGTTTCTATCCCGAAACACATACAAATACCGATGAGGCGTAGCTATTCCATATCGGTTCCGTTCTCGTCCACGCTTTTCCCAGATCACCGTTCAAAATTAGTACTGGAATCAGAGGCATTATTGGCTGTTCTATTTTACGTTTTGCACCCCTTTGACAATGTGTATGATTATTTAAAGTACATCATTATGGTGGCATATTACTTTTTATATGTATGTAATGACAATTTTATTATCAATACATATGAATGTATTTCATGTTTTTTTTGTCAAAGAAATCATTCGAAATAGATAGCAGTGCGAGTATAGGCTTACAAAGGGCGGGCGTTGAACAAAAGTAACAGCCAATATTCTCAAACTTTTGACCAATAAGAAATCCTTCTGTATCTTCAGGTTTTCTTGTATTCAGAACCTCAACCCGAGGAGATTTAGAAATATCTTGGGCTCCTATATCCCAAAATCTTGGCCCTAATATGGAGATTTAGGCTAAAGGCCAATTTTTATAAACTTGGCACCGAACTTGGGCCAATTTTTCTGAGCCCAACTAATTCTGGCCCACCTAAGGAGGGTAGGGGGCTCCATGGTACCCCCGGGATGAAAGTGTGGTTCTGAGTTCTGTAAGAGTTGTAAGGGAGACCCAGGGAAGACATACAACATCCAGCTCCTGCGTCGCCCCGTCTCCTGCTAAATTTTTGGACGGGGGACAGACCCATCTTCGAATTCCAATAGCACCTCCGGGCAAGGACAACATCCTTCGAATTCTAGGTGGTTTGAGCAAATAATACCTTGAGCATCAAGATCGGACAGACCCTATGGCGGATCCGGGGGGGGGCCCCCCTAAGGTTGGCCCAAAAAAAGAAGTTGGGACCAAAAAAAATTTTAGGCCAAAAAAGGCCTTAAGGCCCCAAAAAGTGGGCCTTTTGGTCATTATTGGGCCTTCTAAGGCCTTATTTTTTTAATTTAGGCCAAATTTTGAAGAAAATGGGCCTCAAATTTTCAAAATTTGGGCCCACTTTTTCGGCTTTAGGTGTTTTTTCTATATTCTCAAATTTGGGCCCCCCCCCCTTGTTGGTTCCTGGATCCGCCACTGAGACCACGATAATACCAATTCTAATTTATCATTTTAATTCTGCACTTTGGGTTTTAACATTTGCAACTTAAAGCTTTTTCATAATTTACCATTGTACTATAGTAATTAAGTATGACAAAATACTAGGTAAACACAAATAGATTCAGTAGGCCTATTGAGACATTTTTACACCATAAAGTACAAAATCTTATGTTTAAAGAATGGAATATCATATTTGTCATAGTCACTAGTACTTATGCAGTTATGATCCGGGTTTGTCCAAATATATTGACTGTGAACTTTTTTAAAACTCATTTTAAAATTAAAACTCATTTTAAAATTGAAACTCATTCCAGCTCATTCTAAAATTGAGACTCATTTTAAAATTGAAACGTATAATAGAGTTTTTCCGATTTATTTGGACAACTTAAATGATGAAAAGCAATTATTCGAAGACTTTTGGCTAAGTTTATGTATTGTCCATTTCAGAAAATAGAAATTCATCACACAAACACTCAACAAACCTAACACATCCACGTATTTTGTCAATAAAAGTAATATATATACCGCGACACCTTTAAATAGATTCGGAATGAAATCCTATTTTTGGAAATCTCAACCTAAAACTACGACGCCATCTTTTTGTAGTTTTAGACATTCAATATTTATCAGATTCTGCATTCTTTGGGATTTGACCGTAAAAAGTAATCCTGTTTTGGTGATTGCGTTCTTTACGTCAACTAGTATTTTTTTCAATTTACCGTCCTGTAAGTCATGGTTTCAATCATTGCCATCTTGGAGTTCGCAATAGTAATTGTTTGTTTATATCCAGTATCATTTGTGGTGCTTTAATGCCACCTTATGTAGTCTCTGGTGCTGGTTTTCACTTTGTAGTGTCACTGATGTGGTTTACACTGTTGTTTTGTAAGAGTTTATTTTTATTTTGTTTTTAGTTTTGCTTAAAAGTCCTTATCTACTTATAACTAATGTTTTATTTACACTTAAAATCTTTTACTTTTTATGATGTAGGTGCGTAGTACATCATATAGCTTTTTATTCATGTCCTTGTTTAGTGTTTGATTTTCACCAGCAAGGGTTTTCAGATCCACTGCACATGTATTTCCACTCTCTAGAAGTATACAGTCTGCATCATATAGCATTTTATCCCTTAGATCCTGGAGTTTGTCGCATTTAAATAAGTAATGGTCAACTGTCTCTGCCCCGGGTTGGTTGCAGTTTAAACAGAGGTTAGTACTATGTATAGGGTTTATTTTCTTCAGATGGCTGTTAAATCTGGTGTGACCACTAAGGAGTTGGTTTGTAATGCAGAAGGTTCTTCTGTCAGATTCACCTAGTAAAGGTCTCTTTCCTACCGACTCAATAGAGCGTTGGATATACCCCACTTTTTTTGAATTGTTATATTGCCTTTGCCATTTAGACTTTGAAGTTGAGTGTATTTGACTGTATATCTCTCTTTTAGTTATTATTCTACTATCTTGACTGAGTATTTTAGCTGATTGTGCCGCCTGCTTGACGTGTTTGTCAGCCAGCTCGTTTCCATTAATGTCTAGATGACCAGGTACCCAATGATACTTTATGCTGATTCCCTTTTGGGAAAGGTTTTTACATGTGTTTCTTATTATAGAAATAGAATTTAGTTGATTTTTGGGGGTACCCGTTTCAAAAACAGAAGTTAGAGCGGGCTGACAATCGCAGAAAACTAAGGTATCTCTGCACAGTGGTGTTTTGTCAAGATATGTGAGAGCAAGTTCTATGGCTTGGACTTCTCCTATGTAGTTATTGCTAGAACAGCTAATGGGTCTTTCTAGGCAGACAGGTTCCCCTCTAAGCCCTTGTAGGTAGATTATTGCAGCCGCCCCTGTAGGTCCTGGGTTGCCTAGACTTGAGCCATCTGTGAAGACTACTGTAACATTATCAGGACAGTTGTTTTTCTACAAAATTCTCTCACTCTCAGTCTTGAGTTGAGAATATTAAATGTTGTGGGTTTTTTCTCACTAGTGATACTGTTCGTCCACTGATCAAATTCCCTGCGTATTGGACTTACAATTGTATATCTGTCTTAAGTTTTATTCTTGCGACTTCTTGGGCCTGTCTGGCTTTGAAAAGAATGTCTAACGGCAGTGTGTTTGTGAGGACTTCAAGAGTTTCTGTGCTTGTGGACTGTAAACATCCAGTTGCCCTCAACAGTGCCTGTCTATGTACAGTTCTGTATGTAGATATAGCTTTGTCTGTTACAGTGGAGATTCTGCTAATGCCATATTCTAAATTAGGTTGTACCAGACTCTTGTAGAGATTGCAAAATACAGATTGTGAGCAACCTGAATTAGTGCTTGTGAAGTTTGAGATTTGTTTTAGTGCACCAAAACCTTTCTTTTGTCTTTCTAAAATATGTTGATCAAAACTCAGTTCCTGATCTAGTGTGATGCCAAGTAGCTTGGTTGACTCTACAACATCTAGGGATTCATTGTCTAGTTTAATGTCAACAGTAGGTCTGTCTTTTTTGGTGGGCTAAACACAATAACTTTGCATTTGCTTAGAGAAATGCTCATGTTCCAAGCCTCACACCATGAGGATAGTGTTTTGAGGTCCTCATTTAGTGAGTTTTCTATGGTTGTGTGATCTGTTCCACACTGCCACAAAACTATGTCGTCTGCATATTCTCCATAGCTTGCCTTCACTCCTGCAAGGGCATCAGCTGTATAGGCATTACAGAGGGATTGGGAAATTACGGCCCCCTGAGGTATACATACACTTGATGTTCTAAGCTCAGATGTGTGTTTATTTACAGTTAGAGAGTACTGACGATTATGTAGATACTCTGAGATGTAGCAAAGAAGTCTGCCCCTCAGACCGTTGTTATAGAGCTTCGCTATCAGACCGTCTCTCCAGACCCGTTCAAAACAAGAGTCATAGTCGATAGTGACCGCTACCACTGTTTCTTGTTTATTCCAGCTGTCTTGTATGGCCTGTGTCAGTCTGAGGATTGTGTGATTGCAACTTCGTTAGCCTCTGTAGGAGTCCTGGAATTGAGAAAATAGATTATTTGTTTCAGCAAACCATACAAATCTTTCACATGTTATGTGTTCATATAATTTGCCCAGGATAGTGATAGTGATAGGTCGGTAAGCTCCATCCACATTGTAGTTGGTTTTCGATGGCTTTAGGATCATGTTTTTTGGGTCGATTTTAAATTCCTTTGGCAGGATCCCTTTTTTCCAGCATTTTTGGAAAAGTTTGAGTATTACAGTGATAAACTTCATGCCTGCTTTTTTGATGAATATATAGAAGATCTTTTCCCTAGGGTCGGGGGCAGATAAACTGTTTGGTTTATTTATTACTGTAATTAGCTCACTGAGGTTTAGATCCTTATTTTCAATGCTACATTCACTGTTATAGCTGGGCAGACTAATTTCAAGCTGTTCTAGGCTGACCGCTAAGTTTGCGCAAGTTTCTATTTGGCTTTGCCAGGTTTTGTTGATAGATAGATCCTCTTTACCATATTTAACAAGAAATTCATTGGCTATTTCGCTCGGAAATAGCAAAAGTGCCATCATTTCCCTGACATTTCCAGGCAAAAAAGGAAATTTCCAGATAGTTTTTCTTGCACGGCCTCTAAAAAGTCTCAAACAACTGTATTATTTAAAAGACCTGAAGACTTATAATGAAACATTTTGGGTTTGTCCTTTATATTAGTACCATTTCTCATGACTCAACTTTACTTTTACAGGCTGTCTTATTCACCAATTTATTCTTGATACATTATATTCTTAATCTTACATATTTTTGAAGATAAACACACATGTACAGGGGCAGAGTCAGCAAATGTCAAAGGGGTACATTTTTTGGGGTTTGCATCACTGCGAGGGAAGGAAACCCAAAAGGGGGGTACGGGGGTTCACCCCCGGAAACTCTTCAAAATTGACAATTGTATATAGTGCATTCTAAGCATTTCAAACTATAATTTTTTAATGTTTTATAATGAATCCCAATCA